ATTAGTAAGGAAGAGATAAGGGTGGGGGTTTGTATAGAGGGGAAAGGGGGGGGGAATCCTCACCCTGCCCCCTCCCTCTCCCTTTTTCTCTCTGCCTCCTCCTTTGCCCTCATCACCCTCCCACAAAAGGCGTTGAAGGCTTTCCATTTTGTTCGGTTATCGACAATCTCGGCGATCACCGATCGAATGTCCAGTCCCACTCCACGTCCCAGCACCCTCCGAAGCTCCGCCCTATCCTGTTCCCAGGCCGGACAGAACTCCAGAGTGTGCTGGGCCGAGTCTGATACGTCGCAGCAGTGTTTACAGCCCGGAGAGGCCGTTCTTCGTATTTTGTACAAGTATTCTTGAAAGCATCCGTGACCCGTTAGTATCTGGGTACTGTGGAAAATGATGCTGCCGTGTCTTCTTTCGTACCATTCTTTCATATATGGAATGATGGCTTGTCTGACTCTCGTTCCGGTTATAGTATGGACGCTTGTCAATCTTTCTTTCCATTGTGTTATCGCCTCCCTCTTGGCTTGTATGCAAAGCCTTACGATTGAAGTGTGTTCCAAAGGATCACCTTCCCGACTCATGTTTCTCACCTGGTTGTAAACGTGGGTGAGAGACCGCGCGGACAGATCCAGCGGCACACCTCTTGCTAGAATCATCGCGGCCACGAAGGAAACCGTTCTGTAGCCGCAACATATTCGAAGACAGATCTTCCGTTGTAGTTTAGAGATATCTCTTTTAACCGCGGTGTTCTTCGAGAGATCTTCAGCCCACACTCCGGTGCTCCGTACAACAGCACCGAGTGTATAATATTTGAGTATAATCTTCTTATTTTCTCTTCGGGGCCTTTGAGATTCGGCATGATACGTGATAGAGCCTGGAACATTCTCTCCGCCTTAGGTATGATACGTTTGAAATGCGGGGCGAACGTCCAGTCTCCGTCCAGGATGACACCTAGGTATTTCATTGTGCTGTTTATTTTTACAGGTTCTTCCTTGATCAGGATCGAAATTGACTGATTCTTAATGGCGCTGGATGGAAACACCATTGCTTCTGTCTTCGTAGGAGCGACTCTAAGCCCCAGTTTTTCGATCTCTAGTATTAAAGAGGCTGCGGCTATCTCTGCGTTACTTGCTACTTTTTTGATGCTGTTTCCAGGGGTCAAGAGGACGGTATCGTCTGCGTAACAGATGACCGTACATTCCTTTGGCAGCATCGCGGAGGTCAGTACTTTGTCGTAGCCTATATTCCAGAGGGTGGGACCTAGGACTGATCCTTGAGGGACTCCCCTGGTGATTTCCCTTTTAACCGTCCCACCACTCCGGTCTATATAGGCTATCCATCTGTTGTTTAGATAGTCTCTGACTATTCGCGATAGATAGTCTGGGAACTGTTTTCTCCGCATAGCCCGTAGGATGATGTTCCATGGCAGAGAGTTGAACGCGTTTGCAATGTCCAACCCTACTGCCACCACCATTCGTCCTAGACTCCTTTGCTCCTGAACGTAGGATCGTAATCTACGTATGGCGTCGATCGTGGATCTACCCTGGCGGAAGCCATATTGCTCATTGGAGAGTCCATCGGTGTTGTTCAGGTGAGTATATATTCTTTCGACTATTACTCTCTCGAATAGCTTCCCAGCTTTGTCTAGTAGACATATGGGACGGAAGCAAGCCGGATCGTTCATTTTCCCTTCTTTTTTCCTAATCAGGACGTGGTTTGCAACTTTCCAGGTGTCGGGGAAGGTACCCTCCTTTAGGCACGAGGTGAAACACCTCGCCCAGTCGGTGATCAGAAACGAAGACGTGCCAACCATAACAGGTCCCAGTATTCCCCTCGACGTTCGTTCGTTCCTTCGTCCGTGACATTGCTGATACACCGTTCGCTCTTTCTCCGCGAGAGAGGTGTTCTCTCTCTCTCTCTCTCTCGCCACTTTCGTTCGATCTTTGTATGCCACCGGATCGGTAAGAGCGACCGAACCGTGCCGCGCACCGGCGACGAGATCCTTTCTCGCGCGATGTGTCTCCGTCCCGATCGATCGGCGCACCGCTCTCCTTTTCGATGTTTCGTACGACGACGACGCGCGAGCCTGACGCGTATCGTTCAGGTCCGCGCGAACGTTCCGTCCCCTTCGGCTGAGTATCCTCGGACTTTTTAAACGCGTCGATACTCTCGCGCGCGCGCGATACTCCGAGCCGCGTGGGACCCGGCTTGGAGTGTCCGCGATGCGACGAGAGGCGGTGTCGAGTCTCTCGCGCCCCCCCAACACACAACAACAAACAACTAACCAAAAAAAAAAAGAAAAAAGTGTTTGCCTTCGGTAAGTGTTTTTTCTCCGCACTGCAGCGTTCTCTCAAGAAAGAAAACATTTTTCAACTTCAATGAGAAAAGAATTGAGAGCGGAAAAAAAAAAAAAAAAAGGCACCAAACTTGTCGGTCCGGACGACGTTTCTCGACCTCCCGAACGCGTGGGACCCCACTTTCGAGAACCTGAAAAAAAAAAAAAAAAAATAATTAAAATTTACAAGTCCCCGATGACCGACGAATGGAGAAGAGAAAAGAATCTTCCCGAGTGATCCCCGCTCGAACGGTCGTGTTACACGGGAACGCTCGCCTGTGCTCCCGGCGATCTCCGCGAGCATGCCCCGGCGATATGGCCGGCGCCCCCACAGTGGAGGCAGCATTTGCTGCGGTTCACCGCTAAAGGGCACCGCCATCTTTCGTGCCTCCTGAAGTGGCACTTGTAACATCGAGGGGGGAGGAGGGTATCCTCCTTTCCTCTTTTTTTCTCTTTACGGGCGGGCCTCAGCCCCTTTCTTTTTCGGGTCTGCGTATAGGCGTTGCAAACGCCTGGCCCAGACCTCGCCTCTGTTTTGGAGGGAAGGGATTTGGGGTCCCTTCCTCCTCCGGGGCGTTTACCCCTTCCTACGGACTCTTGCCCCCGTGGATCTCCTCGAGGAGGACGTGGAGGATTCTAAAGATCCTATGGGCCTTGGCCCACAGGTCTCCATCCGCGGTAGTCCATTCGCCCAGGGCACCCGCGTGGCACGCCCTGGGTGGCCCGTCGCTAAATGACGACTGGGGGGCACCGGGACCGGATACCCCCCTCGCCGGTTTCTGGGGTTCTGAAGCCGTTGAGGCGGTAATGGTGTCTTCTCTGTCGTCATTTATTTTTATCTGATGTAATTTTTTACAGAGTTGTCTTCTCTGGGTTTTTTTTTATCGTGGTTTTCCTTCCACTAGGACGGTTGCCTACCATGGTTGACGAGCCCGTCCTGCCCGGGTTTTATATTCGGAGTTCTTCCTTTTCCTAAGGTGTTATCTTGGACCCCTGTTGCCTCACCCCAATCCATCCCGAGACCGAAATCCCGATTCGGAAAGGGAGATCATCGACGTGGTCTCACCCCAATCCATCCCGGGACATAGTCTTGATCCGGAAAGGGAGATCATTGATTCAAGGGAGCCCTGGCACCACGACAAAGTGGCACACCGTCGCCAAGGAACGGCTGGCCCTCCTTGCACGTGAAGGGCGGCCCCCCATATCGGGGAGGCTTATACCGGAATCCCTAAGTCATGTCTCTGGGTACCGGGGGCCTTGGCTTAATCGCCCGGGCTGCGAAGAAGAAAACTTCTATAAAAAATCACCCCTAATCTCAAGTTGCGCCACGCGGCGAGGAGATGCATGGCCCAGGGAAGCAGGGTCTCTAGCGGGCAACTCTGAGGGAAATGGCGATCCCTCAGTAGTATTAGCTTTTTCCCCGGAAAAGGCGTCATCCGGGGGGCGACTGTTATTTCGTCCCAACTCGTGAGATTCAAAATGTATTGTCAAATTTAAAAAAAAAAAAAAAACCAAGGAAGAGCAGAAGGACGAAGAAAGGAAAGAGGAAGGAGCAGCGAGGGCTGTTATAGTGGATGATTCGAGGGTCAAGTTCGACCTTTGTTTCTTGCGCAAAAAAAAATATTCCAGGCTCCCAGAGGTTGTGACGATTTCCTCGTCTTCCGAGGACAAGCCCGTCGAGGAGAGGCTTAGCTTCTCCATCGACAACATACTGCCGCTGAGACCGTTCGCGGACATGTCTTTTAGCTCCGAGCCTGACGAGAAGGCATTATCGCTGTCGCCGCCATCGCCATCGCCGTCAGCGTTATTGCTGTCACCACCACCGTCGCTGCCGCCGTCACCACCGTCGTCGTCGTCGTTGTCGAACCTCGGCATAATGGAGACGCTGGCACCGACACCACTCGTTCACGAAATGGCGTATTGGGAGAGTGACGTGGACTCTGTAACGATCGTCATGACCTCACTCGAGCCGTACCAATGCGCGACATTGGCGCCATTTAACATGCGGCCGGCGCACATTTTGCGCTGCAAAAACAAACAAAACAAAACAAAACAAAATTGACGTGCTTTTTAAACAAGCGCGAACGATTTGAAGCAAAAAAAAAATAATCTACCTGCCTTTTGCCCGTCCCTCCACGACCCTTCGAAAACTACCCTTTGGTACAAATGCGAGATCGGCACGATAGATTATTAGCCGATAAATATCGTATTCTAATTAGACGCCGTTGTGCCGCTCGACGAGAAGGAGCGAGAGAGTAGGGTCCGTTCGAGTGGCAGAGAAATTGACGGCCGTCTACGCAAAGCCTGCCGGACCTTTATCGGGACGGTCATCGTCCCGGCAGCACAAAGGTTGCCGATCGAGAGCTGCACTGCTCGCGACGGGCCGAACTTCCTGCAATATCAAGTTGACCGCCGTTATAGTATTTACGCGAGGGACTTCCCTACGTTCGCGGAAAACGCGACGAGGGCCCTCCTGGCCGCGGAACGGAGACTCCGCGAACGCGGTAAAATTAGGTACCTGCGCATGTACATGTTCCGACACGGTATGCGTATGAACAAGCTTCCCGCCAGGATGTATGTCTACAACCTGGTGGAGGTTTCCCATGCGCGTACCGACGTGGTACTGATACACCGTGTGGACACCATGCGTATGGTGGACGGCGCCCGTCCTTGTTCATCTCGCCGCGCCGCTGACGCCATTGTATCGCGACGCACTTTTTCTCGGCGGCAGCGGAAGATTGGAAAGATACCGCGTCGGCTTCCTAGCCGATTACGGCGACTTTGCGTCCAACGCATCACCCGGCTATCACGATCGAGTCGTGACGTATGCGCAAGCGTGTAACTCCGCAGCAAAGTTCGCCCAGCCCATCGACGCCGGCAACCTATTGGCGTTTGCTATATGCCGCGGCTTCCGGCGTATGCGGATGAGGCAGGCTCGAAATTATGGGGGTATTCATAGTCCGTTCTTATATTCAAAATCGTCTTAAGCACGGACTTATATTCACTCTCTTCGTCACACATAGATTGTGTCTGACGAAGAGAGCGAATATAAGTTTGTGCTTAAGACGATCTTGAATATAAGAACGGACTATGAATACCGTCCTATGTGCGACGACGTATACTCGACCTCCTTGGATTCGTCTCCACTTACATCAAGACGAATTACCAACTCCGCATCGAGAAGGTGCTGATCCTTGACTCACGTGTCGCAATATTGAGCAGCGAATAATAAATATGCGCGTTTTCTCGCCTTACACCGGGACGATCGCGACGACGATGCTGTTCCGTGTCGGCCTCCTCTGCGTGCTCCGCAACTGGCCGGAGTACGTAAATAGATGCATCAGGCCTGTTCTACAATACGTCGTATGTCGGCGTCGGATGTCGGACGCATGCGCACTCGGTTGTCGGCTGTCGCACGAAGCTGTCGGGAGTCGGTTGTCGTTATCGTAACGAGAGATGGTCAACTCTCATCTTTTCCGGCTTCCGACTTCCGATAGGCCTTACGACTGGATGCAAATATAATATAAGAGATCATGTAAGTGATCAAATTGTTGCACCGACATCTTTGTAAATTTAAAAAACTCCTCATGATCATTCGTCCGAAAATATGTAAATAATGTTCGATGAGCATCATAAGTTTGTCTCATATTTCTTGAAGTATGTGGTTTTACCCACCACCTTCTTGTTATTTTGCGCTTTTTCTTAAACATCATCTAATTTTTGTTATAGGTAACAAAATTAATAATAGATTTAAATAATTTCTCATCACTCTACTTTCCATTTTTATATTTGTTGTTGCACCGACTTACGACTATATTGTAGAATGACAAGTCGTATTCAGATCCGACATTCAACGTACGACAAACGACATTCGACGCCGACATACGACGTATTGTAGAACAGGCCTCAGCGAGGACTTCAAGCTCCTCAACGAGGCCTGTGCATTGGCTTCCTCCCGGCCGACTCATACGTTCCGCACAAGACGTTCGTCAACGTCGTTCGGAGAAGCAGGCGCTTCGACACGACCCAACTGAGGATCGGCACGGTAAAGGCCGATCACGCGGCCCGCAACTGTTTTGCGGAACCGATCACCTGTATAGCAGCGGTCGGTAAAGCGCGCCCTCCACATAGACGAGCAGACGGCCGCCGACGTGTTCCACAGGATCAGGGACACCTTTGAGGTGGTGCCCCGACACCTGTGGAGCACGAAAGCGCACAGCCTCCACGTCAAGTGTGACGTTACAACAACGGGCGCCCACAGGAGATTGCCGAGCGGTGAAAGGCTAGACGCAAATTATCTGCGCGAGTATTTCAGGCGGTTGCTAGCCTTGAGACGCAGACGCAGGAAGGTCGCAGACAACTCAAGCACGTCCGGCGACAGCAACGACAATGACGTCGACAGCGGCGGCGGCGATAACGGCAGCGGCGATGAGAACATGATGCTGTCCGTCCGTTTGCGGAACATCGCACGGAAACGGACAGCATCGTATGAACGCGGGCGCGGGATGAGAGAAAACGTGACTCCATGAGTGAGAAGGAGGATACCTACTCTTCCGCCGACTTCTCCTCCCATCACCGCGTTATCTCGCTCTGCACAAGTGGCACCATCGCCATCAGTACCGTCTACCTCCACTCCATCGCATTATATGCGTAGCTCCATCGCGGCGGCGCGAAAAGCGGCACACCCGTACGAAAACGCGATGGAACAATTCAAACGGGTGTTTGCCGTGCAAAAGGCCAAGGCGGCCGCACAAAGACAGCAACAGCCTTAGGATATATAGGTTTTGTAAGTATGTATATATAGGTTTTGTGTAAGTATGTATATATAGGTTTTGTAAGTATGTATATAGTGTAGTTTGAAATGTAAATATGTATATATGTAAATAGTGATTCTCAGAAGACAATCACATAATCAAGTACAAATACGGATTCACGTGCCGACCCCACTTCCACGTGGTAAGAATCGGGCAACGAGAACATGTCGACGGCTAACGAGGCTCCGGCTTTCAAACTTAGAAACCTGAAATTTGTATTTTAATTTTATTTTGCTGAGTCAGAGGCGGGGGAGAGGCGAAGCCCCTCCCCCGCGCCCCCTCTCCTTTCTTCGCCCGATCTACTGCCCATGAGACATGTCACGCATTTAGGCAATTATTAACAGATAAACGTAAATTGATCTCAGTAGAGAAATGAGATAAAAAGTAAATTATTTGTATATTTCTTGCATACACAACATATAGTTATTGTTTCGATTGCAATATTGCGCTTTAAATTTTTTGTTTGCTTGTTGTATGATTGAACATAGAAAATGTTTTTCCTCGTAACATTAATACTATATTGTATACTTAATAATGTTCATTTCAATGTAATTAGTGAAAATAACAGTTATAATATCGAATAAATTGTATAAAATGAAAGAAAGGTATCTCACTTATGTTTCATAATGATGAATTGTTATAAAAGAATATTTTCGAGATAAATGTCTTACAGATCACATTTCATAGCAACATATATATATATATATATATATATATATACATATGTTATGGACAAAATGATAAATGAAGCATTATGTATAACTCTGTCCGAGACCAGTCCGGCAGAGTGATAAATAAATATACATATACCTATATATATACAGCCCGTTGTTACGTGGTCGCTAGGACGCAAGGATCTAGCGTTACACACCGCTCGTATGGGCCGTTGTCATTTATAGAGCGCTCATCCCAACGATTTATCGCGCGCTTAGTAACCAAATAACAGTGGGCTGTATCACCACGGGTCTCTTCTCGCCGCGCTGCTCTTAAACTCGCACGAATTGGCCGATATTTTTAAATTAATTCCTCATTAATTATTGCGAAAATCGCAAAATGATAGAGGACTTTTCTATTCGGTTTAAACCGCTCTACCTACATCCGAGAGGTGATTCAACAATTATCAGACACCCTGTATATTTATTTATTTTTATTTATATTACCTAGTTAAAGCGATAAATTAACAAATATTTATCACTCTGCCCGACTGGTCTCGAGCATTAAGCATAATGCCTCATTCATCACTTTATCTATAACATCTATCTATCTATCTATCTATCTATCTATCTATCTATCTATCTATCTATCTATCTATCTATCTATCTATCTATCTATCTATCTATCTATCTATCTATATATATATATATATATATATATATACACATACATATATACATAAATTTATAATATGCATTACAGTTGGAAAGCCAATCAAGATAACCCGTAATAAAAACTATAAAATATGAGATTATGTGTAAAACCTAAAAGACTACTGATTCAAATGTATATTATATATTTGTGGCTGAATGTAATAAATGCTATAAAATAGATTTATAAATAATATACATTCAATCATAAAATGACATATTTAAAGTGTGACATCGTATGATGTTATTTTTTAAGCGATATTCGTTTAATGATATATGTATATTGTAAGGATTTTTAGAAGAAAGTAGTGTGTTTTAAAATCGTATTTGATCATTCTTGCATTTGATTTCAACAAGAAAATGCTTTTCAAAGAATTAAAAGGTTTGGACAGCTCATTAATAAACACGCATACTGGCACTTCTTACACTGTTTCGAATTTTATATGAATATCGTATTTAAAAAGAATTCCAATACAATGTAAATTGATAAGAGATACTAGTGTCATAATGTTGTGATACATAAACATAATTCTCAATAAAATAAAGAATCGAGTTTATATTATATTGAAAACGAATCTGATTATTGCACAATGTACGCTTATTAGTGTTCTTTTTTTCCGACACTGCAGAAATATTTCTACAATATTAAGACTCGATATTAATTATGCCATATGTACATATGTATACATTTGTATCAAACATGTATAGAGATTTCGATATCGTGAGAAAGATTCTATCGGATTACAAATAATATTACCAGTATCTGATCGTAACATACACTCCTAAGAGAAGTACACTTACTTTTTAACCTATCGTATTGGCATGCTTGGCATATTTGCTTTTTAAAAATGTTTAAATAAAGCCTCAATTTCATCAATAATCTGTATGTTATAGAAGCTAAGAAATTATTGATTTCTTAGAAGAGAGAGAGGGTCCAAACAAATACACTTTATTAACAAAAATCACTGGTGTGTTGATTCTTTGTTAGAAACTTCTACACATGGTCTTGATCCCAGAATGCTCCTCGTGCACCGGATTCAAATCAACAAAACCTAGTTTGCCGTAGAAATTCGTGAGATTCTTTATCCGTTGACGATATCGTTGTGTGTACTCCAAAAGAACCTGAAAAACATGTCCCACATAGTGATATAATATATTATTATTAAAACTTGAAATGGCATATACATATAATAATATTCATTTTACACTTTTAATTTCAAAACATAATAAACTGAATAATATTATACACCATGAGCTATTTACTTATGAATAGTATTTTATGTGCTTGCTTTAACAATATATTTACTATAAAAAAAAATTTTTTTTAAATTAGATTAGATTCAACTAGTATAATTTTTTATAAAAATCAAATTCTTTATTATCTATTTTATCTATGTTTAGTTAAGAAACTCGCATACCATTTGCTCTTAAAGCCGCAAGAACACAAGTTATTAAACGTTTGCAAGCAGAATGATCTGTTATACTTGGCAATACAGCACATACAAGTTTCGATGGATGCTGCCTGCACAATTGCTCCGATACATCCGGAATGAACGAATGGAAATACTGTATGGCATCCTGTAATTTTTCAACATCGTCATACAATACGAAAGCATGTGTAAAATTGTAGAACGTGTAAATTTAATAAAATTATAACAATATTGCAAACGCTACACGCGCGCAATTTAGCCTTAAAAATATCAAATATAAAAAGAAAGTACAACTGATTAAAATAAAAATTAAAATTTACGTTTTATCATATTTAATTCAATAATCCTTACGTTAATAATTATATCTATGTAATTATTGACAAATATTTGCGATAAAAAAAATTATCAAATTTATGTAAGAACTTGAAACATTTCTTAATAATGATCAACTTTTCAATATCAGTTGATTAGCATTCTAGACCATTTCTTTATGTAAAATATAAGATTTTAATGCATCGTAGTAAAAGAAATGTACATTCTAAAGTTCTAAGCCTATCACATGTTATGGTATAAGATTCTAAGACATAAAAATGAATGAAATGTATATCAATAATAAATAACATTTGGTAGGTTAATATTTTAGGATGTACATTTTTTTTACTGCAATGCATTGAAATTTTATATATATTAAATAAAGAAATAGTCTGGAATATTAAAATGTACATTTTATACATTTACAAGTTACATATGTACACAAATGAATAAAATGTACATTTTAACATTCTAGACCATTTCTAATAATTTAGGCCTACAAATAAATCATTATTACTCTCATACCTGAACATTTTGTGGCAATTCGTTAATGTTATTATCCAAGGGATATTTGATTCGCAATTCAGGTATCCAGGAAACAGCCATCTTCTGATTATACGATTTTATATTTAATGTAGCCATTGCATAACCCACTATACAGTTTTCATCTTCAACAACCATACATAACTCTGGACTCAACGTTAGAAACCCTCCAACAAATCTAAATAACAAATAGATATTTATTCAGAATGGTTTGCATATTTAAGAAAATATAAGTTATATATTAATATATTACATATAAATATTGTACCTGTCTGCTATAGCTGATGAAGTTGTACAATTATTGATTTGATTACACACCGCATAAATCGCTTCTTCATCACTCGGTAAATACGGCCGAATTGTATATATTTTACTACTGGGCACTTCTGGTGCTTTATAAACAAATAAATCATTACCACTGTCCACTGGAATTAATCTCTAAACATACAAAAGTAATATTTTTCAATATATTTTACAAACATTAGTTAAATATAAATGTAGATAAGAAAATTAAAAGCACCTGTAAATCAGCTGTAAGTCCACCGCGGAAAACCCATGGCTCCTGTTCTCCACTCATAAATGTTTCTTTCCAACCATTTGAGAACCCTATCCCAAGACAGGATTATTTTTAATAAAGCAGGAAATTGATTTAAATTCGCGCGTTATGCGTATAACTTAATTTCAATTGGCTTCCACTGCTATGGGCATCAATTTTGCTTAAATCTTTAACATGCAAAGATACAATTCGACTGAAGATGTATCACATTTCTTTCTCTCATTTATGTTAAAATATCTTTTCGTTTCATGGTAATTAGAAAAAATATAATATATATATTTATACAATAGATAGATAGATAGATAGGAAGACGAAAAAGGTGAGAGGGGGGCGGGGGTAAGAAAAGAAGGAAGGAAGAAAGGAAGGGTGGGAGGGAGGGAGAAAGGGAAGAAGGGAGGAAGGAAGGAAGGAAAGGAGGAAAAGAGGAAGGAAGGAAGGAAAGGAGGAAAAGAGGAAGGGAGGGAGGGAAGGAGGAAGGAAGGAAGAAAAGAAAAAAAGGAAGGAAGAAAAGAGAAAAAGGAAGGAAGAAAAGAAAAAAAGGAAGGAAGAAAAGAAAAAAAGGAAGAAAGAAAGAAAGAAAGAAAGAAAGAAAGGAAAGAAAGAAAGAAAGAAAGAAAGGAAAGAAAGAAAGGAAAGAAAGAAAGGAAAGAAAGAAAGGAAAGAAAGAAAGGAAAGAAGGAAAGGAAAGAAAAAAAGAAAGAAAGAAAGAAAGAAAGAAAGAATAAACCATCCAATCGGATAGCTAAGGTGCACCAATTTTTATAAATTTCAAGTAAGAATTTGGTAGAAATTTATACGTTTTATGATAAAAATAGACGTATAAACATGATATATTGTAGTTTAAGGTAAAGTTTAAAGAACTGTATTATACTAACTTCCTAGAAATTTTAATTTTAATTATCTAAATGCACAATGTTTTATTCAGAATAAATTAAGATAAGTAGAAAAACAAAGAATATCATATGTGCTGCACCAAAGCTCGCGCAATGCTAAACTCTTGAAGCACTAGATTGAAGTATAGGAAAAATGGAATAATAGTCCAGTTTGCCAATATGCGCCTGAAATAAAATTGTTTATCACGCCTGAAAGGAATATATAGTTTCTGAAACTAAAATAAAATAAATTAGTACAGGCAAGTTGGCAAAAGGAGGGTATAAGAGTAATTGATCATTTAAGATAAAAAAAACAATATTTCTGACGATAATCCTATTGTTAATAGTAAGTAAGATCATAAGACATTGTCATTTATTCGCAAAATAAAAAAAATTGGAAAAATATTTTTTATCACAAATGATCAAAGATTTACAGACGGAAAATGTTCAAGAGTTTATAATTTCCTGTTTGCTAAATTGTGCCAATTCTATATAATTTTTTGATGGACGCGCTTCAAATGCGCAAAAATATTAAAATCACCATGTTGATTGATCAATTCCGTCATGCATTCGAACAATTTGGAATGTAAATTTAAAAAAAAATCTGTAATGGAGCTATGAGTTAATTACATATCCAAACTAATGTAAATTATATAAACATGAAAAAAATTAATCCAAAAAGTATAATAATTATTCTACAATATGTGCATAATATAATTATAAAACAAGTGAATTATTTACTGTTTTACTGTTTATGTTAAATAAAGGGACATACATACAAGTTTTGCGATATACGAGAAGCACGTCCATCATGTTGCAAACCGCGAAAATAAACGTGTTTTATACACATTGATTTTTCGAACTGTTACAAGGCTGCTTCTACGCGCACATCTCTCGCGCTTATACAAAATGAGATAAATGAGATGTCTTTCGTAAAGTCTCAAAGATTTACAGATGCAATTCATCACTGCAATGTTTGAAACTTTGTTATTTCGCGCGCTTTCTGCTGTATTACTCAAAAACAGTTGAACCGCATACATGTATAGCTGCCCTGGGTAAACGTTGTCATCGTCGATGGGAATCTGCCAAATGCTATCAACAAGACAAAAAACACAAAAATGCGAGTTAGTAAATAACTCAAAGCTATAATTATCCTGATATATTTGTATTCTACAGGAGAATGTTTATTACAGGTCTTAAGTAATCCACACATGTTGATAGTAATAACTAAATTGGCATAAAAAAGAAACAAGTTAAAAAATATAGACATACATAAAGCTAATGTTCAATTGAGAGAATTTTAATTTCAAAATCATCTATCAATATAAAAATTATGTATAAAACACACTCCTGCTTCATGTTATCTGGAAAGAAAGTCGATTGATATGTTAATAGCTGGTGTACAATTACTTTTCTAAAATGTATTTATTGACGTCCATAAAGATGCTGTTGAATACTGTCTCATAAAACCACTTTGTTTTTTTTCGCCATTTTCGCGCCATTGCATGGGAAAGCCACATCAATATATTTCTCATTTTTTTGTCACATGTATATGTCACTTGTAAATTTCATGAATTTTTAATAAAGCAATTTTGTGCACAATGCAAAACATCTTGAGACATATAAAATATATGTACTCTAAAAAATTGTGTATACTAATATATACTTTATGAGAAGAAAAATTATAAAATAAAAGAGAGAGAGAGAGAGAGAGAGAGAGAGAGAGAGAGAGAGAGAGAGAGAGTAGTAG